TCGACTTGCAATCTGCGAGTTCAAATCATTCTTACCAAACATTAAGCAGCAAACGTTTTCTGCCAAATTAGTTTATTATATCAAATAATGAATAATGATAGTCGTTATATCAGATTTAACCAAAACCTTGAGGAAACGTTCAGTTAATGCCAACGAAATATTATATAAGTGGATATACACAGTTCACTACTGTTTCATATTAAATGTCACGTGATAAAAAAGTATGTACTAGGTATCGATTACTATAATAACAAAACTGTGACAACGTTACATTGCTTATACATGATTAAAAGAGAGAAAGAAAACTTCAGAAATTAGAGAAAATTATTTCAGAGTAAAATCGTACTTTTTAAAAGTACTGATCACATAAATGGTTCATATTCATTAACATAGTTCAAGATGAACGTTTCGACACTGGTTCAGTACTTCACATGACAAGGAAAAGAAAGTTCTCAGCACCTCAGTTTGTGCTTCTTCTGCACGTTTGAACTTACACTTCTATTAGTTTTTACGTGCTTTCTTTGACACGTACATAATAGATATGAAATTTACTCACACTTATAATTAATTACACTTGCCATAAGATACTAGCATCAGGCCTATAATATTTTTTAAAACTACATTATTCATCTAGTCCCTTAGGTAATTTTAAGAATTAGAAAAGTGTATAATAATAATATTTCAACCACAATATCGTCGCAGTGTTCGTTGTCGTCAAGCGTTTTGCTCAACCCAGAGCTCGTAAGGTCGGCTACGAGACACTAGGCCTAATAATAATATCTTATGACAAGTGTAATTAATTATAATTATCCTACGCCAGCTTGAAAAAAGCGTTCAGCAATATATGAGATCCAGTAAAAAAAAAGTAAGGCCAAAATTTATTATTTGTATGTGTATACAAAAGTGTTATAGTTTTCCTTTCTGCGCATTTTGTTCTTTTACTTTTTAATCTATATAATTTATAATTTACTTATTTGGTTTCTGAATTTTGCACAGTCGTTAATAATTTCTAATTAATAGTCTTTGTTTGTTTGTCTGTTGAATTTCTCGCAAAGTTGCTCGACGGCTATCTGCTATATTTTGTTTTTAGAGCGAAGCCACTTTGGGCTATCCGCTGTGTCCACCGTAGTGAATCAAACCCCAGATGTTAGCGTTGTAAGGCAGTAAACGTATCGATATTCCACCAGAGGACAGCCGTTCCTAATTTTGAAGTGATAGGCTACACTACCCGCCACCAACTCTTCGAATAATGGGATTGACCGTCACGCTATTACGTTCCCACAGTTGAAAGAGCGAGAATGTTCGGCGACGGGATTCGAACTCGCGACCCGCAAATTGCAAGTCGAGTGTCGTAACTATCAGGCCATGTCAGGCACTCATAAACTAGAGAGAAGAAATATAGTTAACAGCACCCACTGATAACTGTTGAGTTACCTTTGTCTGATTGAATGAATAGTGGGATTCGGCTAACGTGTCACCCATATATCGCACCCAGGGCCTTAATGTTGGGTTGCGAATCTGAATTTCCCGGATTCATAGCCTGAGTACTCTAACCAGTAGGTCTTGTCCAGCCCCTAATTTGAAGTTACCCTTTTTACGTTTTGTATATATCAAATTCACTTAAGTTACACACTGAAATTCCTTCCACTTGAAATAAGTTTTTAATCAGACACTTTTTTAATTTTATATGTCTGTCTACTATTTAAAGTACTATACTTCACATTTTTCAAAAAACAGATAGAAATTTTAGCTTTATATAACAGTTTCAATTTTGCACATGCTAACGAAAAGTCATTCTTAATCGGGTGTAGTCTGTTAAATTCCTGAGGAGTGGGGACAAGTTCATCTAAGGGTGTGACATGGATATTTTTTACCTTTGCTGTCGTGGATCTGCACTTCTGAGGAAACTTGCATTTAACATCTGGATATCAGAATACCACAAAAGTAGAGACTTACGTACCATACCTACGTTATAAAAGTATGAGACTTTATGAAGAAATTGTAGCCACTTCAGAGTTTATGACGTTCATACGAAGCACAGATAGATTTAGGTTCAAGTGATTAATTTTGTAAATGGTTAGATACAGAGAGAGTATGGATTGTGAGAGCAGTTCTGACGTTTCCGAAAGGTCTCGTCTCGTTCCCAAAGAAGCCAAACCGCATTATGAAGTTTTGTCCTTGTTCTTTCTAGAGATTACTTTATTGGTTGCTTTCCTTACATCTCGATGATCAGTTCCTGCTTTAACCTCCTTTTGTCTTTGATAACAAAGTGTTTGGTCCCGTTTGTCTACTTACCAAGTCATGTCTTTTTCATTCACGTTTCCTTCCATAAATGATTATCACATCGATACATAGATCAGGTAACTGTGTACTTTAACTAATTCGAACATAGGAATACCACAACGGGGTGTGTTGAATTTTAAAAAGGACCCAAACTCGAGCGCTTTCGAATAGCTGACTATACTTTTTCGGGAGAGTAGCCAACTATTGGCGATTGTTTCAAGTACAGGGGGATATTCCCGCATGTCGCAGTAGAGTGAAACATGTTTTGGTAGCCGTGGGGTAAATCCGAATTTTGCAGTCAGTGCGTATAAATGTTTATTCGGATACATCCGAACTAGGTAGCAAAAGGGTTAATGGATTACACAAGGAAATGTAAGTACATGAATGTGCCAAAGGATATCATTGGAGAAATTAGTGCTACATCCATTTTATGAAAATTCTTGAAACTGATCCCTATGTTGATTATGACAAATCACTCAGCCCTCCTAGGAGTAAATTGGCACTGTTTATCATCCATGTCTATAAAGTTATATGCTTCCCAAACCAAGTTTGGAAAAAGAAAAAGACTGCTTATAGACATGATTGCTAGGATTAAGTTCAACCCAAACTCCGTGCTTGACACAACACAAAAACAAGATGTCCCAAACGGTTGGCTATTTGTGGGATTACACCCTAAAGATAAGAGGATAAAGTTGGAACCACGACATTTTGCTAAGATAGTACAAGAAATGAAGTATTATTTCTGTGTCACAGAGAAAAATACAACAGAGAAGCTTTTCCCTTACAATGGAATCATGATGGTAAAAACAAAGTTTAATAATAAAGATGAAAACACTTGACAAAACATAAAATGATTTTATTTAGAGAAGATTCGAGTATTTCGAAATACACTTATTCCATCTGCAGCAAAATCTGAAAATAATGTTAAAATGATATTTATTAACTAATGCTATAGTATCATCAATCACTAATTTACTTAGATATTCAGTAAAGTGGTCAATAGAAGGAAAACAGATTATAGAATATGTTATGAATGTATCATGAATTACAAGTTGCATTAGACAATTAAAACTATTCTTAACAAACATAGTTTTATGTGCATAAATTTAGAATAATTTTAAGTCTAATGAGATTTGTAAGTCGTTAAGAGTAGGGCAGTCTTTTGTTATGAGTAAACCTTCTTTAATGCAAAGTTCAAGGTCTGAAGATCCTGTAGTAATGATAGAAAAATTTTATATGAAATATTGTGACCTGTGGTTTCAACGTGTGAACAAATCTGAAAAAATATGTATCATTCCACACATAATTTAGCAAGAATTTTGCATGAACTGCATTGTTTACTTTAAATTTGCTAACCATGTATCTTTTTCTCTTTGTGATGTCAGTAAATAATTAAACCTTTTCACAGAATTGAGAAAAAACAAGACAATTTTATGTTTCACAAATACATCATTTATTCACGACTTTGGTTTGTCCAGTAATGGCATCATCAGGTACTGGTAAAACCATGGCTGTGAATAAATTATGTACTCGTGAAACATACAATTGTCTTGTTTTTCCTTAATTCTATAATTATGGAGTTTCACCAATTCCCAACGATTTCAAGCATCAATTACATAAACTGTAACATAAAGTAATACAAACAACAAAAATGCATTATGATCTATATCCTCACAAATAAAGTTTCCACAATCAGCTGAAGACATTGTCAGACCTTGTTAATGTTAGGTCATTCAATGTTATGTTGTTTGTTATCAGTAAGCCATAAAATGAATTTGTAAGTTTCTAAAAATACTGAACTTTTAAGAGCTAACAAAATATAGAACTAGCAATTTTAAATATGGAAAAGTATAGTTATTCAGATTACCCCTCCTCCCCATTTTTCAAAGTTCTAAGTTAGTGTGATAAATATGATAAGCACAAAAATTATATGCTGATAAATCAAAGGAACAATTCAATTTTCCTTAATGCACAAATTAAATCTAGAATTAAAGATGTAGTGTGAAACTTTTATTTCATATTTATCATCTGCACTTAACATCAGAAATGAGCATGTAGATAGGTATTTCATAGAAAACAGAATTTAAAATTGCTGGTTTAACACCTTATGTTATAAAAATTATACAAAACATACCAGTTTTCAAGAAAATATGTCATAACTGAACTGTGCCTGTGTTTTTCTTAATCTATGTACATTGGTAGGGATCAAAGTTTACATACCACAAACTTCTACAGAGTGCCATTAAACATGGTATTATGTATTTGATGTTAGTGTTAGCAACTACTCATTTTACCCCACATTACTAATTTGGTGAGTTTGTGGTAGAGGATAGTATATACTAGATACAATATATTAGGATATCTAAAAGAACTATAGTTATGCATTTTGGACGTTTTAGAGGTAATGCAAATACAATACGCAAACTGTATAATGGACAAAAGTATTTTCATTCTTCACATGAACATTACCTTGCAGATTTGTCAGTCTGAGTCAGACTGATGACTTCAGTTCACAGACATATCTTGAGTACAAATATGCTTGTAACACATCTGATTTTGTGTGTACAACAGACTTGTATGTTTGCCTAAAAGCTTGCCATATTTGGTGTAGATACTATGTGTATCATGTAGTTAATTCAAAATTACAATGAGGATTACTGATGACAGGTGAAATTCAGGTGACAAGTGGTAAATCAATTGACAGTTTGGTCTTAACATTCTTTTCTTTTTTTAGTAGTTAAAACTACAGAAAAAAACTACATTATTCTTTCAAACAAGTTACTGGTTAAGAAATTTTCATTTATTAATTTCAGTAACAGTAAGGCTTGTAAATAACATCTATGAGATATGACAAAAACATTCATATGGCTGTACTCTATTACGTGAAGGACCATCTGAAAATACAATATAAAAACTACTACTACATTTCCAGATGTAAGCAAAGACCGGCCAAAGAAAGTTTTCTCTCTACATTAGAATAATAAATATAATAACACATCATATACAAAACTTTTTTAGACCAGAATTATCTTGCAACAAAAATACTGCAACTTTATTATACAACACACACACACATATATATATATTTTATCCCTAATACAAGAAGTGTATTCTACAACAAATACAATAAATTTAAGTTTACTAAGATTCATTTTAAATTCAAATGCACGAACTGATGCTACTGTCTTCAAAACATGAACACTTTACTGTTGACACCATTACGGCTTTCTTCCATAACATCTAACACACATACAAACGTCTACTTTTTTTTTTTTGAACTATTAACATCAACACTGAAGATTCACACAAATTCAAGAAGCAATGTCTTAGAGTGGAGTGTAATTTCCTTTTGGTTTGTAGAAAATTTGACCTTCCTTAATACGCCGAAGTATTTCCTTTTTTAACAGGAACCTTTCTTTGTCAACCTTTTGGAGGACACTGCTGTTTTCTCTAGCTCGACGTGATAAGTACGGCAGTACCTCATCCACAGGGCCATAAGGAACATACTTGTAGACGGAGTACCCAGCCTGGCCTGTCAATTCAACAAAAATTTAAACCTTATAGGTACATTCAAAACATCAAAAAATCTCTTGTGATAGTTTTCTGAGGCTCTGCTCACAATGTTAAAACAAATCAACAAATGTTCTCAAAGACACATTTTTCAAAATGTTACAATCATGTCAATAAAATAGCAAACCTGCCATTAAAATTATTATGGAAAGATCCCAAATTTATGGTAATACATATACTCTTGAGTAATTAATAAATTCTGCATGACTGAAGACAACATTGCAAAGTGACTTTAACCAAAGTACTAATGGAAAAAAATAATCAGAGAATTTTGTACATATATCAAAACTTTGCTTTGAAAAATGGATATAACCCAATACAAACCAATGTAACAAAAACTGGCATCGAGTTTAATAGCTTATTCATAAAGCCATTTTCAAATAGATGTATGTTCTTTTGTTTCATAAATCACCTATTTGTTAATTAAAACCCACACAGATACATTATCAAGTGTTAAATATGATGAATAATAAGATTAAAAAATTACATACCCAGAGCAAAACTAACTTGATCACACATTCCATACAGTTGACCAAAACAAACTAATCTGTGTTCTGGTTCTATGCCTATGTCTTTCATCCTTTCAGGGAAAACAAAAATTAAACAAGAAAAATGCTAATTATAAAAAAAAAAAACTAAAAACATTTTATAACAACAATAATATTCTATTCCTGTCAAGTTTCTAGTAAGAGAGATACAATTTTAACCTTGTAAATAGTTGAATAATACAAAAAAATTATCAGTCCCTAATAATCTTAACTAACAAAATGCTAAATGTTAGAGTACTGTTTAACAATTTATCTCTAGCCAGTGGTATACTGCCAGATGCAAGCAGGTAATTTTTTTCCATCTGATCATGTACTATACTTCTAGTTTTTAACGAGTTCAGTTTCCAATCATCAGTAACTGTATCAAGTTTTACCACAGATCCTAGCAAAGACACTTTTAATATTTCAAAAGCTTATGCTGCTAAAAGTATCCTAGTTAACCTTTGAAATTTGATTCCATATACCATAATGTGTTTAATTTTGTAACAATTAGTTAACACTAATTGATTCATTATTGTATGAGCCTTACTTGCTAACTGTATAGCGAACAGTGTCTTCATTATGGGTAGCCACCATCATGGAAAGCTTCCTGTCTTTTCGTTCCACAATTCGTTGCATGATTTCTGTCAACGTCTTATGGTACATCATTGAGGTGGCTTCGAATGTAGGATTGATAGGATCTTCATAGCCTATTGTTTTTGCTCGCAAACGTTCCTTTACAGAAAAATCAATAAATACTGTTTTATATATTATTTCCAATTCATTAGAAATCCTCACTGATCCAAGTGGGTAAAGACTCAATGATCTTTCCTAACATGTAGTACACACAATACCCACACCAGAATAAAAAACAAACTGACTGTGTAAAATAAATATGTGAAACTCAAGCTACAAGGACATCATACAATTCTTAATTTTAGCTGTACAGTAAATTTTTCAAAAATACAATTACAGCAAGGTATTCTGTATAAAAGAAAACTAATGAGTATCAAAATTCAATCCTCTATAAGTTTCTAAAATACATGTATACTGTTCTTAGTACTTGTAGTAATGGAATAAGAAGATAATTATTATAACTGGCTAAGACTATATAATAATACAGTACTGCCTCACTATAATGCTACCATCAGGATACATGTGCACCCGATCGCGATATAGGTAGGAGAGTAGTCTAACCAACTAGTCAAGAAGGCACTCGTGCTGAACAAGTACAGATTCAACAGACAACTAGAGCAATCAATTAAATAAAATAAATGTTTATTTATAGATCTCTTTTCATTTGTAAATTTGAGGGAAAAGAATTAAAGCAAAGCTCATCCTCTGTTAAAAAACTGAAAGATTTCACCTCAATGGCTAAATTTTTAAAAGCAGTAAAGAAGATTAATAAGTTGAAATATTGTAGGCTTCTATTAATACACTGTAACTGAACGTGAATGTGATTTTTCACTTGATTCACACAACTGGATATTTAAATCAAGAAATTTACAATATTATAAAAATTTACAAAATAAAAGGAAACCTAAACCAACACACTTGCTCCATGTAAGCTCCTCGAACCAACTTGGCACCAAAGAAGAATCCACGTCGATCAGCCAGTTCCATGTCTAAAACTACATTGTCATAAGCTTCCTATAACAGAAAATATCAATTCATACATTAGAATTAGTTCATATTAACTAAATCATTCTCTTCAACATATTATTATTTATAACTTATACCATTGGAATTGTAAAACTGGCTTAACTTACTGTGCTAGAAAAATATCTATTCACAAATTATACCTTAAGTTACATATAATAGATGCATTAAAGTTTGAATAATAGGCTTAACGCAGTACAATAAAACTTTCTTTTTATGAATCCATTTCATACTATGTCTTGAAAATGTACTAAATGTACTAAATTTCGGAACACTTTATAACGTACTTTTCTCAATGTTTAATAAAAACATTTTTTATATGAATGTATTACCAAGTCATCATGTTACAGGATTTTAACCAGATGCATCAGTATGCTGATTAACCCATTGACCGCTGATTTCCATATAGGGTACAGTCCACCTATGGCAGTTGAATGCAAGTGTGCCATAGATGAAATACGGCTTGTGAAACTTCCACACACATTTAGAGCAGCCACAGTCAGTGGGTTAAAAGAATTATTGTTTATGATGGATATAGCAAACATTAAAGGTATTTACTAGTTAATAATTATAATAAACAGATGAAAAATATATGATTGCATAAATCCAGAAACATTTTTTTTTACTATCTTTTGATGATCTTGATAAATTTAGATGAAATTGATATTCAATAACAAACAGAAGTATAAAGTGAATTTCAAACAAATATTTAAGAAATAAATTAGATAATGCTTCTTTTACTCTGGCAAAGTCTTGCATTTTAAACATAACAGATATTAATTAACTGATACAGTTGTTGTCATTTAAGATATGCTGTGTGTTTCAAAAGTTACTTCTTCTGTCCAAACAACTGCATTTTATCATGCAGAAGATAATGTACACATTCATGTGGGGTGATACAATGACATCATGGTATCTATGGGTATAAAAACCATTGTAAAAAATCATGTCCAAGCAGTTTTGAACATGTCATTGCAATGTGTTTGCTTCATTCCACATAGTCAACTTTATCTACACACTAAATTTCACAAGTTTCCATCGATTTCCTGAGCTCAGTTGTCTGAAAACAGAAGTGACTTTTGAGACATGAGGCATAATTACCTTAAATTTGTGTATGAGCTAATATAATAAGTGTATTCTGATAGCTGACATAAGAAAATAATTTATTAAAACAAAAAGTAACAGTATTCTGGGGTGTTCACTCACATTTATGCTCAATTCACAAAATCCAAATAATTTGTATCAACATTCTGAACACTACAATCACTATTATTTTTGTTCCTCTCACAACTATCAGGAGAATGCAGCTAATGAGGGATGACATAATAATGTAAAGTAATAATGTTAGTAGGTTTTAAGTAGTTGGCAAGGATTAAGTTTTATGCAATGGATAGATGACAAAATTTTGTCTATAATTGAAAAGATATTTTCTCATATAATTGGCCACAATTACACAAAAAAGGTTGAATATTATATAATTTCACTTTATACATCCTATTCGAAACCATTTTGTTTAGAATACGACTTAGAACATAGTAGCATATTTTTTGTATTGTGCTAATAAAGCTAAACTTTAGTTAAAAACATTAAAAAAATGGTTTTCAAGTTGTCCTTTACTCAACAAAGTAAACCTATACTGCTCTAATTCTTTGAAGAATATTTAATGTTAATGCTACTGATTTATCCTTCTGAATTATTCATGGACAAGCCACTTAAAATAATGTAACTTTTCCCTCTCTAATAATTTGATTTGCTCTTTCTCAGAGTTTTTGATGAGGGCTAGAATTCCCTAAAGCCAGTCTAACTCAGTGACAAGTGGCAAATCAAATGATAAACTTGGCTTCACTAGCATTCTCTCTGCAATTTAAATATTTGGTAATCATCAAGAGAAAAAATATTATTATTTTAATTTTATAATTAAGAATTTAATAAAACTTGATGTTTAAAAATACTTTGTACTTAATTTACTTTAAAAATTCCTGGAATTTGTTTAAGTATTATAGATTTACATTTGTCATATCAAGTAAAACATTGCACTCACTCTACTACTAGCTCTTAAGATAATTACATGCTCAGTCATCTTAAATATGTTTACTGTTTTCTTGACAATTTTCATATAGAACTAATAATAATACATGTAATATTGAATGAGACTTTTCAAACTAAGCCACACCTTCAAATAACATTGGTAGGTGTTGAAAATAATAGGTTTCTCTTTGTTGTATTTGCGCATCAGTTCCATAGTGATCCTACTGATAGCTGGCTGAAAATATGTCTGTTCAGCATCAATCATGACTCTAACATCCTTCTCTCTAGCCACCTAAAGTGTTCATACCAAATTCAAAAATACATTTTTTAAGAAAGATTAGAGATTTTCTAAAACTGTTACTTTCTTCCTAACATATCTTTTAACATGGTAAAATTAACTGTAAAACAAATACTTCTGATCTAACATGTACAGTTCTATGCCTTCTGATTCCTTTTTTAAGAAAACTTAAAGGCAAAAATGAAAGTCAAATCATTACTATAATTATATAAATGAGCAACAGTACTCCACAACTCTTTTAAAAAAAAATGTTTTATCATACCCATGGATGGTGTTGGTCATTGTTTTGACATTCACTTCAAAAGTTCAGTGTTGTTCATATACTGTCTTTTAGACATTCACTATTGCCCTTACATTTCTTACAATCACAGTATACCCAGTTATCTTCCTTATATTTAAAATAATAAATCCATTTATTGTTGTACATGTATTTAAGACAATACATATACCAAGTACTGTTCATGTATCCATACTTTCTAAGAGTCTCATTCATGTATTCTTAACATAGTTCTCTATGTATTTCTATCAGTGATGTTCATGTAACACCAGTGCTTCTATGTATTTCTATCAGTGATGTTCATGTAACACCAGTGATTCTATGTATTTCTATCAGCAATGTTCATGTAACACTAGTGCTCCAGATAATTTTTGCCACAATTAGTATGGTACTGATAAAATTTTGCCTCTCTTAGCATTGCCAAAGATGGTCAATAATTTAATATCATGGACATGCTGGTTTATGTACCAATTAAGTCATTCATAAGAGTTTGAATGTGTCAGTATAATCTTATTGTGTACTTGGCCTCAAGAAAGTACTACAAAAATGCATATGCACAATTTACACATTTATCTATTCTTGATTAATTCTCTGTTTATATGGTTGTGAAAGCCTCACCCTTCTTCTGTTCTTAGCACTGTCCCATATTTTAATTGCAGGACTGGGATCAGTACAATTAAATTTCTGGTCCTAACATTACAATTCTCATTAAACAGTATCTTTTCCACTTTTCAGAGAGCATATAAATTTTGTCTTGTGCCTGTTTTATACAGAAAAAGCTCTTTCACAATCAATATTAAATGATAGGTTGAACAACCGCCAATTTTTTTTTTCTTTTTTATTAAAAGAAGGATGATGTTTCGAGCTAGTGCTCTTTGTCAGATCGTACAGTTTACAACAAAGGCCTTTTATATCTGTACATAAATTCAATCTTGTATTTACCCTAGAAATACAATGAAGTCGTCGCATCATATTCTTAAACATTTCTTCCTCTTCTGCAGTCAAAGCCCTGATGATTGGTTCCATACGTCCAGTCTAGAAATCATTATTTAGCTTTGTGTTACTGAAACTCTTATACTACTTTAAAAATTATAATAGTATGAATGTTGCTGAAGATAACTAGTCTTAAATCTTACAACTTGTAAACAATCTAAAAAACTTAGCCTGTGAATTCATAAATAATTACTTTTATATTATGCAAACACATAAATACATACATACACTTTTCCTACCATTACACAGAACTGCAACATACAGTTGCTCTATTATTTTTCAGTGTTAGAATATCTAAATTATTGGACTCATTGGTGCTTATGAAATAATATTTTTAATGATGTATTAAGTTTACAAATGAGAACTTTTCACAGCTTACTGTAATAATTTTCTACATGTTTTCTTATTAATTATTCTAAAAAATCTTTTCTTTCCAAGAGACAGAACAGGAACAGTTGTATCAATTGTTTAACTTGTAAGGAATAAGCAACTTGGTATTTAAAGCATGGACTAAACAGGTTACAAAAACATGAACAATACATAAACTAAAAATCCCTTTTCACCCAGCTATTATCAAGACGTAGAGTAAGAACAATAAGGTCAAATGTCTAATTTGGATGAAGTAAGCTACTTAGTATTTTAAAGCATGAAACTAGATAATAAAGGAAGTATGAAAAACAAATATCATGAAAAATATACTAATTTCTTTACCTAAATAACATGATCAGAAAAAACCAATAATGTTACTAATGTTTACAAAAAATTACTTTAGGCCAGACAGATTACTATATTAGTTATTCTTAGCTGAAATATTTTTAATATAGGTAAAAAGAAACAAAGTTAGAAACATTCCCATCATATAGGTGCTGAGAATAAGAATAAAGACTAGAATAAAAATAAGAACTGGAAGGCCACATTTTATAAAGCCAAAATACTCAAGCAGAGATTGACAATTTAACTAATAATAATAATTAATCAACAAAACACTTCTTTATGGTTCTCTTTCACTAATATTATAGGTTGAATACATGTAATTAAATACAGAAAACAAATATACGTGTGTGTGTGTATATATAAATACATATGTTTATATAGATATATACATAACTTAAAGATTCTTAATTGGGTTTAACTTCTGAAACTTGAATAAACTTTAGAATTTTACTCATAACCTAAAAACCTCGAAATTAATGTCTTTAAATGTAAGCGTTGGTAAATATTATAGCGGTTTAATAGATGAAGTACATTTGCATCTGTATAATCTGATGATAATTAGAAAATGGTGAAGATTCAACCAGTCAGGCTTTTCATAGCTTTCAAACTGAAAAAATATACTTATGACAATTGATTCTTTGCTTGTTGTTAAGCACAAAGTACTAAATGGGAGATCTATCCACCGCAGGTATACAAAACTGACTTTTAGCATTATAACTCATCAGACTTACCACTGAGCCATCACGTGGCATGAATGACAATTAAAAAGAAATAACTTTTAGACTAATTTTTAATATCAGGTACACATAATTTCAGATAAAAAATAAGAATCCACCACATGACTAAACAAAAGTAGAAAAAATATTAATTTATGAATAATTTGTTTATAGAATATCACGATAAACAACTGAAAATATGACAGCACTGATAAATTTAAAACAAGAGACTGACCTTAATACTGGGAACTTTGAAAAAATCAGACATAACATAGTTCATATCCACCAAATCACTCCAAGAAAACAAATTAATTAACCTGTAAAAACAATTAAAACAATCATTCTTACTTAACCAAAAAAAATGTTTTTTAATAAAATTAGAATAAACTTAAATGGATATTTTAATTTTCATAAGTAATTTTCAGTCCATAAATTAAATAAAAAATATCAAGATTTGTTTTTGGAAAGATCACAGAATTTAAAAACCACTTCTAGGAATCTTTTCTTAATAGCCTGTAACATTCGTTAATATTTTTATATATACATAGAAAAGAGGCAGTTAATACTTTTTGTTTATCTACTAAACTTGTAACAAACAAAATATAAAAGTTTTTTTTTACCATTATTGCTCAGCCTTAAACAGAGATAATATTCATTTGAATATACATCTTGCAGCTTGTACTCAAGAACATAGCATCAGTACAGCAGCAGTCAATAACTTGTTTGCAAGTCACAAAATTGTAAATTTGCCTGTTAAGACGTTTTTATTTCAGTATTTCTTTTGCTTAGGTAACTGTAATATAAGATCATTAACAATTGGCAATATATAGATAGTTAACAATCCAATTGGTGAAACATTTTATATAATATTAGAACATGGTTCAGTTATTGAAAAATTCGTACATTAAAATGTACAATTCTTACTCTGTAAATTTAATAAAACTGTTTTCTATAACAACATTCCATCTTCTTAGTAGCATATATGTTCTGAATCAGTATTACTTCATTTGTTTATATTATTAAGGATCATTAATCCTGTATCTCTTTCATTAGCTTCTCATCTCCACCAAACATCCTGTATACAGGTTCAGAATAGGTTCTACTTTTACAGATTGGTAAAGTGAAACTGGAAGTTGCTAAACTTGCACCAGGAAGCACAGCTTTATTGTGAATATGACCTGTGTTTTAGAAGATAACCTATTAAGCTGACAAAATTGGTACAAATTTCAGTGTCCCAGAATAGAGTCAACAAAGCTTATAAGTAATGCATCAGCTAAAAAAACAACACTTAAATGATACTTAAACACCATCAAACAAAAAAACAGCTTGATAGCAGTTGGAATAGAAATATGTACATATTTTTGGACTCATGGTTCATTGCCAATTGCTTACAACAATATGTTCTGCACTTTGAAACCTTGGGTGTGCTATAACAGTGACAGTTAAATTTTTCAGTCAGACAAGAGTAATTGAACACTTGGCAGTGAGGGTTCTTGACTAGCTGTATTCCCTATACTCTATCAGTTTATAGTTAAGAGCTACTATGCACAAATAGCTCTTTGTGTTGCTTTGCATGAAAATTTAGAAACAAAATATACTTTGAAGAAGCAATTGCCAGGACTGTGTATATATATGTATGTTAAAAATGTCTTTTCTTTTTCACCAGAGGTGAAATTGAAGAGAGAATCTGTGACGTAGTGGCCTAATGAGGTCCACTGTATAATACTGAATATTGAATTCAATGAAATGTCATAACATTATTCAAATACCTAAATTAATTTAGTTTACTATATGGTGAAGTAAAACAGACTCAAAACCCTATAGATAGTTGCCAGAACTGTTCTCACTTGTTCTGGTAAATTATTAACATTTTTTTTCAATTTGATCTGTAAATGATCATTAAGCTTTTTATATGATGTAGACCTAGTGGTTAAAACTGGATGACATTTTTTTTATTAGTTCTGTATGTTAAAAGGATTATACTGTTATAGCGTAATGATATTTTTTCACCTGTAACTACTAAATTGTGCCAAACAAAAAAGATCATAGAATCAACCCTCACAGAGATATATGTAATAAGCTCATTTGCTCAAAAAGATTAATAAACTGTAAGAATATAAAAAAATAATAATAATACATTACTGGTAATTGTTTTACCCTTTTTTATCATAATCCATTTTTTCTAACCAATCTTTCACTTCTTTCTGATGTGTATTAACTTGAAGATCATTCTGAAGTTTTTCTTCAAACAAAGATGGCTGCACTTCACTTAAAATAATGTTCTTCTCAGCCCCTGTAACATCCTTAAAAAACTTGCGTGTTCGAGCAATAACTTCTGACAGCTGTATCTGAAAAAGAAAAAAAGCAAGGTGATTTATACCATGTTTTTGTATAACAAATTTTTTTATTTATTTCATAACTACCCAATGGACAACAGCAAAGTTCCAAAAATTACTACAAACACGTACAATGTTTTTTGCCAAAGAAAATCTTAAATAAAGTATTTAGTAGACTAGATTATAAGTGATACAGACACTGTTAATGCTGTTATGAGTTTAAATAAGATCATTTCTTCTGCATAATATTATGCCACATCTGTCATAGTACTGGTTTATTTACATACACAACTTTCTACCTGGATTGTTGTAGTCTTAATATGAATTATAAGTACGCTGTTTCTCCTAATATACATAAACAAACAACGTTCACTTACAAATAACTCATGCAAGATGCTTTAAACAAAACAATACAACAAAATATTCCCATTCATAGAAAAATAAACTACTACAAATATTAAACCTTGAAAGTACATCATCATCTTAAAAAAACTTAAACAACTATACATTTACAATAACTCAAAAAGAACAAACAAAAGAAAGTCTTGCTTCAGTCATCACACAACAACCTAATGTATCTTCCAAGGCCTAGCAAAGGAGGAAATTTGATGACACAACATACCAGCAGCTGGGGCCGTCCTAAGGCAGTCATTTTGATTGCTGCAAAACCAGTACTTTTAGTTGTTCCTGGGAAATGGTTAAATAAATAGCATTATTTAAAATTTCATAAACAATCCCATTTTCAAAGACCATCAGTCAACAGCCAACAGGTTTTATAAATCTATTCCAAAATATTCTTCCAATGAAGAACTGAGAAGAAACACTGCTATACCATAATTAAAACTTTGGAGGAAAAGGCAGAGTTGCATCAAATAACTTTCATTATAAAGTTCCTTATAGTAGAAATTTTGTGTATCCATTTAAATGATCTTTTAATCTGTCACGGTGTCTGAATGACCAAAGCTTTCCGGCAAGCTTAAGCACTCATGTTCTCTTAACTTTTATGCATGGTGGTAATTATATATATATATATATATATATATATAAATCGCTTTTTTTAACCCAGTAGAGTTAATGGCAAAATATTTCACCTAATGGAGCTTTGCATCATTTTAAGTACGTGTGCATATTTCATGTAAATATTGTTTTAACAAGGACCAACTTTATGATGATGGGATTTAATATATTTTAAAACCAAAGTATTTAGGTGGTTACAATAATTATTCTATTGCCTAGTGTGTGCTTAATATATTTCATATTAAATCACAAGTTACACCTAAAGATAAAAAAGCATGATGCTAAAACTAGACTGTCTAAAACCTACATAGCATAAAAATCTGTGCATTGCAGTTTTTAGCTGGAAATATTGTGGGTCTTCTAACCCATCAAGAGACTGATTTATTTCATATCACAATTTTCTTTGCTATCAAGCACTTTTGAATAGTACTACTTGTTATATGAAACTTGAATACTAGATACTAGAATTCAGCACAATTGGTCATTAGCATTTGATACAATAGCCATATTACTTAAGATTTTTTTCATTATTAAGTACTTCTGCTTAGTATCCATATGCTCTACAAAACTAACAATTAGTAGAATTGCTCATCATGCACCAGCAGGGCTTGATATAAAACTAATTTTGTTAACCTACAATAGTGTACATCTTCTAGAAACCAGTAGAATCACTCATCACTAGCCACTATTACTTAGTACAACTACCAATCTTGTTAGCCTACAATAGTGAACATCTTCTAGAATCCAGTAGAATCACTCATCACCAGCCACTAGTACTTGGTATAACTACCAATCTTGTTAACCTACAATAGTGTACATCTTCTAGAAACCAGTAGATTCACTCATCATTAGCCACTAGTACTTGGTATAACTACCAATCTTGTTAATCTACAATAGTGTACATCTTCTAGAATCCAGTAGATACACTCATTACTAGCCACTAGTACTTGGTATAACTACCAATCTTGTTAACCTACAATAGTGTACATCTTCTAGAAACCAGTATAATTACTCATCATTAGCCACTAGTACTTGGTATAACTACCAATCTTGTTAGCCTACAATAGTGTACATCTTCTAGAAACCAGTAGATTCACTCATCATTAGCCAGCAATACTTGGTATAACTACCAATCTTGTTAGCCTACAATAGTGTACATCTTCTAGAAACCAGTAGAATCACTCATCACTAGCCACTAGTACTTGGTATAATTACCAATCTTGTTAACCTACAACAGTGTACATCTTCTAGAAACCAGTAGAATCACTCATCACTAGCCACTAGTACTTGGTATAATTACCAATCTTGTTAACCTACAACAGTGTACATCTTCTAGAAACCAGTAGAATCACTCATCACTAGCCACTATTACTTGGTATAACTACCAATCTTGTTAATCTACAATAGTGTACATCTTCTAGAAACCAGTAGAATCACTCATCACTAGCCAGCAATACTTGGTATAACTACCAATCTTGTTAACCTACAATAGTGTACATCTTCTAGAAACCAGTATAATTACTCATCACTAGCCACTAGTACTTGGTATAACAACTAATTTTGTTAACCTACAATAGTGTACATCTTCTAGAAACCAGTAGATACACTCATCATTAGCCAGCAATACTTGGTATAACAACTAATTTTGTTAACCTACAATAGTGTACATCTTCTAGAAACCAGTATAATTACTCATCATTAGCCAGTAGTACTTGGTATAACAACTAATTTTGTTAACCTACAATAGTGTACATCTTCTAGAAACCAGTATAATTACTCATCACTAGCCAGCAATACTTGGTATAACAACTAATCTTATTAACCTACAATAGTGTATATCTTATATAAACTGTAAGAGTGAAAAGACACACATTTATATAGACATGGAAAAAGACTGCTTTTAATTACACAATTTTTTAACTATCTTAAACAGGTGAATCCACAGAGAGAAGTTTAAATAACTGTAAAATTTACCTACCTTACGAAATTTTCTTGGTGTATATTAAGCTTCAAAAAAAAAAAATACTTTCAAAACGTTTAAAATATCACTACAGTGGTGAGGAAGGAACAAGGAGGTAATGATTAGCAACATTGACTTCATACAAACACATAGCTATAATATTTGGTATCTCACATTGTTATTGCCTAAGTAAACTGCTAGCCTCAAATTGGCTGCAGAGATTGCTTTTGAGTTTTAAATAAGGATAATCCTGGATCCCGAAACACAGCAGACAGAGTTAAGAACATAATAATGAAAACGGTTAATTTGCTCTGCAAAATACAAAACAATTCTAAATTATATCTGTAAGCTATCACTTCTGGTAACTCCTAGAAACTGAAAAATAGCATGATTTAAAACACCTTTAGAATTATAATTCGTTAAACTTTGTTATTTGTAAAATATAAACCTACAACTATTTCTGTACAATTAAAATCTAATGGTAAATATTCTAGATTAATATATATATATATATATATTAATATAACTCAAGCCTTTTTTTCAGTCTAAAACATTTGTCTGTAAGAAAAAAGTATGGCATATTATATTTATAAAGCACATACATGAAAGATGGTTTATAAGTGAAAGCAGTGGTATTATTATTAATGTGCACTTCTAATGGTTTATTATTTTATTTCAGTTGCATAAATACTTAACTTACAGCATTCATTCAGATTAGAATAGTTGATAACTTGAAAAATCAACAAGTAATGAAAAGTAATAGAGTAGGGAATTTTCACAAATGTAAGATTCCACACCACACATTAAACACACTACTAAAGAATAAATGAGACTGTGAGTGTGTTATTAGAGTGACAGTGAAATCCCACTATTTCATTAGAGTAGTCCACGAGTTGGAGGTGGGTAGTGTTGACTAACTGCCTTCTCTCTATGAATGGTTAGTGCAGATAGCCTCAAGTAGCTTAGAATCAAAAATCAAGAAATACAATTATATATACTATGAACACACAACACTGATTTTAATATAATGTAAAGTTGCCAACTAATATCAGTTATTATGATAATTACATGTGCACATTTTAAAATATCAACTGTGAAAGTATCAAATTATTTAGAATTTATGCATATCTGTATATAGATTTACTTATTTCTTAATTTTCATTAAATCTTTTTCCAGCACTGGGTTGGCTTTCTTTAGTTCTGTGTTTTCTTAAAGCTAAAAATATGGAAATTAAACTTCCTTACTTTTAACGCTGACATTAGTGTGGATTGGTTTTAGCTTTATTTTTGAAATTGTAATAATAGCTTCTTTTCTTTAGAACATTCAAGTTTATTATTAGTACTACATTCTTTAACTAGCTATATTTAATCTTTATTTCTATTTAACTTCTAATTGTTTAACTAAAGTTTAAGTTTTTAAAACCTGTAATAATGTAACATTTGAAACAAAATATAAAATACAAAAATACACCTACAGACTATATTTTGAATGGAATTTTACTGGAATCACAAACCACACATTTGTTTATGCCTAATTTTTTAACTATTTATTGGAATTTTGCTTATCATGCAGAGTATTAATTAAGATTGCAGAAGGTCTAAACAAGTGTAAGAATATTACATGTTTAATTCAAATTTAAATAACTTTATACCAACCAATAATGAATTATAAAATCAACTAATAATCTTTTAGGTAGCAGATTAGACAACAGTTTTTAAAGTAACAGGTTTGATTATATCAATAAACATTGTCACTCAGTTATTTTCATAACTACATTAGGGTAAGTGAACATGAGCATTTAATTGTGAGTTGTGGTAAACTGACTTGTCGTGAATGTTCTTTCATTGACATACGAAGAACAACAAACCCAGATATTTTTAGATAAAGCAGACGGAATTGGAAATGTCTTTTGAGTTTTCCAGAACTGTATTGGAATAACATCTTCAGGCAAAGCCAAATAGTCCCTCAGTTATTTTGCTAATCTATCAATATCATTCTCCCATTCCATTCAAAATGATATTTTAAACATTCCCCATTTCTTAAAGATTTCTGTTAAGAAATAGTGATAATTCATAGAAGCACTTTTCATATTAGAACTAACTTGAGAGAAGGCCTGTTTGTAATTTAGACAGTTTCACTTTAATTTCTCAATTCCTCCTTAACAATTTTTAAATTTCCTGCATTTAGTTTTTCGAACAGGGGGTCAGGGAATGAGCAGATATCAAGAGGTAAACTGATATCTTTGTTTTCTTCTTACCTGATAACATTTTATCTAGCAAGAACATTTGAAGATTATCTGATTCTACATTTGAAAGCTCATAACTAACTGTAAAAAGATAATACGGTAACTTTCTTAGCTGTGACCTCCAAGTACATCTACAAAAGGATGAACTTTCTTGAGAACTTATAATGCTTGTTTGAGAGTTTTATTTCACCTTTACACATTAAGTGCCAACTTTTATCATCTTCAGCAAAGTTTCAAATAATGAATCTCTTCAATAACTTTCTTAGCTGTGACCTCCAAGTACATGTACAAAAGGACGAACTTTCTTGAGAATTTTTAATGCTTGTTTGAGAGTTTTATTTCACCTTTACACATTAAGTGCCAACTTTTATCATCTTCAGCAAAGTTTCAAATAATGAATCTCTTCAACTTCAAAGAAATAATCCCATCTGATTGATTTGGTTAAAGAAGACATTTCATTCCAAAATCTTCTAAAGGCAGAAACTATGATGAAAAATTGTTTTAGATATATCTGGTATTTTTAATGCCTTTCCTAGTGTAAGGTATAGGTTATGTACAAAGCGAAAAAGCAACTGATAATCAGGTAATGATGATTTTGGTTTGATGAGCTCATTATAACCTTTCTTATAGTTTGATCCATTGTCAAATATTATACACAGCATCACCCTCACTCACTAAGCTTCTGAAAGTCTCCTTCTAAAATGATTTATACCATGTGACCAATGGTAAGTGGTAAACATCCCATACAGTGACAACATAGCTTCCAGTCATCACTCATGTTGTGAACTAATACACAGACTGTTCTTACACGCATACAGGTCACTTGTGTATGAACAATAGTGATGATGGTTCATTTTTGCAACAAGCTGAGTGGTGAATGCGTCAATAAATAAACATCATTGTTTGGGTTCAGATATTTCTTGAAATGAAAGATGATAATGGAATTGAGGAAAACAAAGACAATTGTATGTTTCACAAATATTTCATTTGGGTTCAAATATTTCTTGAAATGAAAGATGATAATGGAATTGAGGAAAACAAAGACAATTGTATGTTTTACAAATATTTCATTTGGGTTCAAATATTTCTTGAAATGAAAGATGATAATGGAATTGAGGAAAACAAAGACAATTGTAAGTTTCACTAATATTTCACTTATTACTACCATGTAAAGGAATTTATGAGCAAAACCGTGGTATTAATAAATGAAATATTTGTGAAACATACAACTGTTTAGTTTTTCTCAATTCTACAATTATAGAGGTTCACCAAGTACCAATAGTTTCAAGTATTAATTAAGAAGGTCACAACAGATGTTGACTCAGGTTGCAAAATGATTTGATTTAATATAAACTTTTTAAAATTATTTAACATTATTTTCCTGTACATAATCTTTATATTTTATTTTGGAGAAGTAAACTATAATTCTTTATTGGACAATAATAATTATTATAAATCACTAATTTTACACTATTGTATTTTAATTTTATAAAATTCCAAAATCTACAGTATGTTTATTTCTACTTCAATAATTAACTGTACCTGCAACAGCATCAATGCACCGAAGGAATGTTTCTGTATTTTTCTCACACTGAGCTTCACTCATATAGAAATATGTTCTGGCTGTGACATTATATTTCCGTCTGTCAGCAAATTTCTCATGGTATCTGAACTGCTTCAAATCATCTTGGGCTAAGAAGTTAAGAACATAGGAAGGAAATAATATATATATATATATATCTTTTTAAAATATAAAGTAATGTAAGTTACTGAAATTAGGTTAAATAATGTTCAATGTTTGCTAGTTCCAACACATTTTTTTCTTTTAGAAGTGTTTTCTTAATATTTTTCTTATGAAAGATAAATTTAGTAGTGCAAAATAACATTTTTGGCAAACGAAAACAAAAAGTAAACTTTAAACACTTAATTAGATTTAATAACATTTTTATTCTGTTCAAGTTAAATCAGTCACATTAATAAACAGAGCTGATATGTCAAAATCTGTATGCAGTTTTCAAACTGATATTTAAGTATCAAGTAATAAATTATATTTGATTTATTTGAATTGGATACTACACCACAATCACTTAATTTTTATAGAAAGAACTGTTATTAGAAAAATAACATTATACATATTACTTAAATGTGAGTTAATATACGTGGAACTTTATCAATAATAGTTTTAAGTTAAAATAAGAGATAATGGAAAGTAAAATATTATTCCTCATCCTGTCTAATACTTTAGATGGTGTTTTAGAATCCTTACGCAATAAATATTTAAAATTTCAATGTAAATATGTTGAAACTGTGAAAACAAGTATATATTCCACCTAAATTTTCAAATTCTAGTCTTACTTTCCCTTTCTTTTTGTACTGAAGGTGTGTTTAAACCATAGGGTTAACTATCACTATATGTAAGATAAGGATAGAAATGTATGCTGTTGGTCAAAGTTAACATTTTGACTTATTGATAAGGGCAGGAAATTATTATCCAAATATAGCAAAACAGTATGTTATTTCCAGTATTATATATATTTTAATATAATAATATATTTGTTTGCAAGTGCAAACAAAATAAAATAATGTAGCTTAATGAATGAAAAATATATCATATGCATGTAATACATATACACATTTTAAAAAGCAGTTTTGTAAAAGAATAAACCAAACTAAGCATAATAAACAAATAATTTGACCAATAAAAAAAGGAATACATAATTTGTAAAGTACACAGAAAACAAGGCTCAAACAGTATTGATAGTAAGATTTTATTAGCCTTACTAATAACTTTTGTTCTGATATTTCCTGCAATTAGTTTGATATAAATTTCATTACATGATACATGCTTTAATTTTTTGAAATTTTATTCAAATTAATAAATTCCAGAATAACATTTTGGAAATGTAGTGTATCCAAAGTTGTAGAAATCATAAACACTTTGGTGAGTCTTTGTGAAAGGATTTGAATATTTAGTTTAATATGCAAAAAATTAAAAATATTTGTTATATAATTATTTATGGTAGAAATTACTATCAAACTATTGGATATAATATAGTTGATCTGGAAGTTTTGGATATTTCTATAATGTTATTTGTAAATTCTAACTCACAACTACTGAATGTGTTTTACTTATTTTAATTAATAACTAAGGGGAAAAAAAGCTCTCATTTTTTGGGTTGTGATATTTTATATTTGAATGCACAAAGTTTATAAAATGGTGAGTAATTAAAGTGCTTAAAACAGTTGAGTTACCTGCCTAGACATATGAGGTTAGGTATGAAGGGTTCTGAACAAACCAGGTGGCTGTGTTTCAACTTATAACTGCAAAGTTAAACCTAAGTGGATTAAACCTCTTCCACAACATGTAACACACTAACCACTTCTAGTACAAAAAACACTTTGAGCCAAATGGTGTAATCAAAAATAACAAATCAATTGACTTATCTAGTATGAGTTACTAGATCAAACAAGGCTTAGCAGGGTGACAGTAATCTAAGTGTCTATAAACCAAGAAATTCACACACAAATCCTTAATATATATGCAAACAAAAAACAAATTAAATGAAACAAAGTACCAGAAGTTTAACACAAAAACACTGCTGCCTAAGATGGAAATCTGAGGGATGCCAGATCCACTCCCTAAATACTTTTCTGTTTTCAATGCATAGTACTATCTACACTCATTCCTCCGTTACGCATATGATGGTGTTGTCTGTACTTCTCTACACCTAATTTAATTTTTGCATAGTTTAATGAAGTTTAAAAAGCTTTCCCATGCTTGTGTGGACATGTTATATAATTTTAAAAGGCTTCTCACACATGCACACACATTTTATAATTATATAAATACCTACTACACAAAAGTTATACTGTAGATAAAGCTGAGAAAATGCTAAATGCAACAATTATAGAAACACAGAGAGATATATATAAGTAAATGGTTGGAAAATTACAAACACTTGTTTAGATACCACTGAGCTATTAGACTGAGAGGTATATTAAACTGTGTCACATCAACTGTACAAGAAAAAATCTACTAACTTTGCAGTTCTTTTTGTTTCATTTCTGCAGCAGAGATACAAGCTCTGTAAAAAACGAAAAAAAAATTGTCCTGTTGTTTACCAAATACATACACACACACACACATCAGTTTGAAGTACTTCTGATACTTATTATTATTATTATGTAGCATAATAATTTATTTTGATATTACACTTTATTTTAGTGCTTTAATGATCTGAAACAGATAAAAAACAATAACTTTTAAACACTCGACGAGCAACATTTCAATTTAAAAACTGAGAATGTCATTTCTCAATATAAAAACTTAAAACTTTCTCAGAGTAGAGCAACATTAAGATATTATTGTCAAAATTTTTATTTACAGTTTCTTATTGGTGTGTTTAAATTAAGTGAGATAATTAATGAAAAGTATACATCAAAATTCAAATACAATTTTTTACAGTTATTAATTATATTTTAAGTTTCACCTGTCTTATATATATGTTAATTAGCTTAAAGTATTCTGAAGAGAATAAACACAGTTACCTACACAAAGCAATGCCATAGAAGAGCTAGAATAACACAATATGTTTCACATAAAAAATTATCATAAATGTAAATTTTTTAAAACACTTTCTTTGGTCAAAGTGATGGGTATCATCAAACTTCATTGTTTATCATTAGTTTCTACTTTTTTTAAATAAATTGGTTTCTTTGTATTTCTTTTCACATCATTTTGTTGATTTAGCTAGTATTTGAATAAGTGTAGCCTGAAAATTGTTTATCAATGAAGCATTTATCTCTCTCTTACACAATTTTAAAGTTCCTTACATAAGTAAGATGTTCAAATTTGATGACAAGGAACCAGATTTTAAAAAATAAAATATGTAGATAGCTTGAATGGATAACGAAGGAAAATATTTTCCAAATAACATATGTACCATGTTTTGACAAGCTTTTGTCATCATAATTTTTCTGAATTTGGTTTCTCATTTTTCTCTGTTTTGAAATCTATACATGTCCACTCTAATTTCAAATAGGTGTAAGATCATTGTTAAATATCCTTCTCTTGTTCTGATTACTGATGTGTTGCATATGATATGAACTTTCATTATGTCAGCTGTATGCTGGAATGAACCTCTTGTTCTCTGTAAGAAACTGTACAACCAAGAGTAGCATGGGTGAAAATGCTAGAACTATATCTGAAATTATTATTTTTCTCAGAAAATAGGCTTAGCTTGCTATTTGTATTTTGGTTGTGTTTTCTTCATCAAAATTAAAAAAAAATGTGTATTTTAATTTTATCTAATATAAACAGCATTGGGTACTCATCTCTGATATGAACTGTATTTAAGGTAAAAATTAAGAGACCCTATAAAAAATATCACTGGTACAATAATCAAAGTCTTTCATACCATAATTTTTGGTATTAATATCCCTGGTATTATTCAATTTCCTAAAAAAAACTTTTAACAATAACCTATGACAGCAGAGAAATTCTGTAGTCTTTTTAAACTTACTATGTTTCAGATCATGGTGAAGATTTCAATTGCTTAAGGCTCTTGTAAATGGCCACATTCAAATATTATAACTGTAGTTTTATTAAACTTTGGCCTATTTCTCTTGGTTTTTCTAACAGGCATTTTTATCTGTCTCCAATTTTCACAGCCAACATTTATAATTCCAAAATCTCGTAAACATTTTATTCAACTTTTCCATCAACCATTAGGTTCTAACAAATCTTTATCTACAAATGTATTGGTAATAGTTATCAGTGGAACTGTTATTAAAAACACTTGTGTTTAACTCTGTGATATAATTACTTAAATATGTGTCTCTATGTAACAAATACTGTTTCACCTATCACAAGTGGTTTCTATTGATAGGTATGCTCTTTCTGGATTCTTTGGTAGAAAAAATAATGCAAAGTCTAGTCCACCTAATGACAATGAAAACATTTTATTTCACCTACTAAAATTTTAACCTGTATATATTCTATATAACTAACAATAGGCCTCACTTCATAAATAAATACAGTTTCAATGTAATTTCAATTCCTTGTTAATTTTCTTGTATGTATTGTACTTCGTATGCTGTTATTACTTTGTTGAAAACACAAACTCAAATTTTACATGTTGCCTCAATAATCTAATCTCGTTTCAATTAACAGCATTGTATATCACTCAAAGCATTCCTTAAGTTTTCAAGAATATTCCAGAAGTTGAGCCACATAACATCAATGCTCCCTCTGGTAAAACAACAATACAAATATCTAAATTAAAAAAACAAAACCTACAGCACTTACTAGTCCTCAGACTGTAGTCCTTTGAACAATCTTGACACAAAAATGATTATAAAAATAAAATAACTTTTAACAATGAACAACTATTCCTATATCTACAGACATTAAAATAACTAAATAATGAATTAAATGTCTGAAGCCATGCAAAATAAAAGAAATTATTAAAAAAATAAAATCTTCTTTCTTTACTCATTCACTATCTCTAAACTATCCAATCACTAAATCCTTATGGTGATTTTCTTTTCCATGGCTTATGGTAAAAAAGATGGAATAACCTCTTGCCCTTTATCAACGACTCTTGTCTTGTCAATGGAAATGTTCTCTTTAGGTAGATGATTAAGGGAAGCCATTGGTGGTTCCATCCATGGTGAAATTCTGTATATGGCTTTGGCAGAAACCTCATTTGTCTCTGGTGAACAATAAAATTAATCAGTTGGATGTTCTTCTGCCAATGTACCTCCAACGAAATTTGTAGTGGATGACTCATTATGTTATGCTTCCATCCTTCATCACTGGAAGTTCAACCTTTGGTAGTGTGATAGTCATACAGAGCACAGGGATTTCCTGTCACAAAATGTCACACTGTTTGAAGCAAGTCTAATTTCACATTTATGTTTCCACCTGAATTATATTGTTTAATATATATATACTCTTTTTCAATGTCAAACACCTATACATCATGTTGTATAAGGAAACTTCCCACAGTGAGGATAACTTATAACTTACCTCAACCTGAATCTTTATGACAACTTATTGTTTGCACCAATCCATCCTCTAGCTTCATCTCAGGAGACAACTTCCAACTTTTTATTACCAGATTTGGTCAAATAATGGTAGCTGTAGAGCCAGTATCAATCAGTATATTGCAAAGTTTCCCTCTCAATGAACCCAAACTGACTCATGGACAGGTTTCTTTAAATGTTGCACTCTTTATCTCTGTTAGGGTAGACTGAACATATTCAGGATTTTGTCTTCTTTGTTTATAAGGTAATAGCACTTTGTTGTGCAGAGAGATAAGTATATGTTTCTGAACTTAATTGATTCAAGTTCCAATGCCAACTTTATAGCTTCCTTTTTAAAGATGTACACCAATCTGGTCATATTCTCATTCATTATGGCATCTATGAATTTATCATTTCATGAGAGTCGCCTGGAAGATAATTGTGTAAGTCTTTAAACATGCTCAGAAAGTTTGGCTAGGCTCTTGTCTTACTTATTTACTCTACTTTTAAACTGATACACCTCCCATGGTATCTTTCCATCATAATCCGTTGGTTTCGTGACTGGGTAATGTTGTTGAAATAGCCTGCTAAATTCATTAACCTGATGAAGTAGTAATGTAGCAGGAGTAGTCCAGAAAAGTCCTACAATTATAAGTGGGAAAACAGTAGTAATAACAGATGTACATCAGATGAGTTATATTCCATATGGCATATAAAACAATGTTTAATATTAGCATTCCTGAGCAGATGCAGAGAGGTGTGTGGCTTATTTTACCCTTACTGCACTTCCCAACTCAGTTTTTTTATGTTTTATCATAGCATTGATGTCTTTCCATACATTACTTACAACTTCTTTAACCTTATTACTATTTTACTACATTTCTTCAACCTTATTACTATTTTACTATACTTCTTCAATCTTATTATTATTTTACTATACTTCTTCAATCTTATTATTATTTTACTATACTTCTTCAATCTTATTATTATTTTACTATACTTTTTGAATCTTATTATTATTTTACTATACTTCTTCAATCTTATTATTATTTTACTATACTTCTTCAATCTTATTATTATTTTATTATACTTCTTCAATCTTATTATTATAATCTTTCTTTACTTCTTCAGACTTCTTGTTATAATATTTCTTTATATTTTCTATGGCTTCCTCTATTTTACCTTAAATCAAATTGATTTTTAATTGTAATTATTCTGTAAATCTCACATTTTGTTCATGTAATTTCTCTTTTTATTTTCTGTCTTTCCTTAAAATTTGTTTAATTTTCTGTTTCCTCTTGATCATCTCTCCATTACGTCACCATGTGTACATTCAGTTTCAGTTCAATTTTGACAAAAATAATCCCATCATGACATTAATGTTGCAAAAATATTAGGTGTCAAACAAAGTCTTTTAGGATTATTCAGAAAAAGAATAAACCAAGATCCAGTCCATTTAATGATAGTTTTTATTATTTTAAGTACAAGTTCAACAATTTGTAGTAGTCTCATGTATCTAACAATAAGCTTAACTTTGCAAATAAATAATGTTTCTCTCAATAGAAATTTCATTTACTTGCTAATATTTTTATATGTATAGTACTTCTTGTATCTCACAGTGCCAAACAAATTGACTGGCTGAATCAATAATCAAATCTAGTTTTGTCTAAAACTTGTTTTATATAATCAAATTACTGTTTGATAAATTTTCAAGAAAATTCCAGTCATTAAGTCGCAAGCATGTCACATGACATCAACATTCCCTCTGGCAAAATAACAATCAAAATGTCTACATTTAAAAAAAACATTATACAACAGTATCATAATTTGCCTATCTTGCTTCATATCAGTACCTCAAATTACATGTTTATAAAAAAATGATCATCTTTTAGTATTCAACTTACGAAAATTCCACCTCTTTAGCTTCCTCTTCAGACATATCTTCTTCAGCACTGTAATCCAAAATGGGTTTAACTCCAAAGGAGTAAAGTCGATTAATTGTTGGCTGAATTCCATCTGCACTTTCACCAGCCACAAAATGCCCATAAAAAGTTGATCTCATGAGATGGTGAAAGAGTCTTTGTCCAAGGATACGTCGCCCAAATTTCAGGAGCTTATGAAGTAATATAAAAAAGGACTAAATTTAATTTAAGGCATAAAAAAAAACATTTTGACAGTGCAAGTTTCTTTTTACCGTTAAATCCTTATCTCTATAATTAAAACTTTTATATAACCCATACATAATACACAAAAAATAATCTAGCTGGAGAGTTTCAGAAGTCAATAAAAGTATAGAAATCAATTTTAATAATAATGTAATTTAACATCTAATAGATGGATTTAACCTTTGCCAAAAATTAATATTTTTTTTCTAGACAATAAAGTATAGTTTGGTCTTGTGTCAAGTATAGTTCTTCATCAGGTGATACATGTTCATTGTAGCTGTATGACTTTATGTTGTGTATTTGTCTTTAGCAGTGATACAACCTAGCTCATTTGTTAATAAGCATTCTACTTTTAAGTATAATTTGTTTCTTGATCTGTTAGTGTATAGCCCAGTATCTGTATTTATCTATTTATGTACACACATTTTAAGCCTAAAATGTGTCATCAATCACACTATACTTTAAGATTTAATATCATATAATCCTGTATGATGATGCATTACAAAATTTAATAATGACTGTACTATTCAATCATGAATAAAAAAATTTAATCTAGTGATCCTAAAGATAAAAAAATAGTACATTTTAATGAATGAGGTTGACACTCACACCACTTTCTGCTACATGTAGCTATGAACTGTGAAGCCTAATTTTACTAGCATGTATGACTTACTTAGGTGTGTAATAGTGTCACCAACCCATAACTTTTTTCCATAGTGCTGCATACCTGTTTGTACAAAGCAAGGAGGACATACATTGCCCTTGAGTAACAGAAGCTGTTAAGAATTGATAGTGGCGATTCAGCGAGAAAAGCATGAGCCAATGGGTACCCACAGAGGAATTCCCAGCAGAAAATGTTGAATGTGAGTTCAAATCATGGTTAAATATTTATTGATTATGTTGAAGTTATTATCATAAGGGTACATATACCAGCAGGCATCAGCTCTTCTCCTGTTGTTTCTACCATTTATCAATTCATATACTGATCTTTCTCCAGTTTCAGTTTTTAATTTTATTTCTTTCAGCAACATCAAAAGTGCCTTGTTATGCAAGCATTGCTGTGCAAACAAAGACCAGTCAAAATAGCTGTACATTGCAAAAAAGTTTGATGATGATGTCATACATTTTTAGATAGGCCTACAATGCTACATAAAATTTTTCATCATATTGGATACCCCTGGGCCAGCTGTACATGGCTTAAACTATTACTATGGTGTGCAGCTTCCGGTAGGTGTTGAGGACCAGTTATTTACAACTTCAGTAAAATTAAGAACCCATTCCACTGACAAGTTATCAATTCTTGTTGGACTATCAGAAAAGCAAGTCAGTAATACTGTCCCACTAACTTTCCTGCCAAGTCTCCTAAAACTGAAGTAATTGTTGATGTAAGAAGAGACTGTACGTTATGATGGTCTGTGACTCAACAAGTCACATTTCCCACCTACAAGAAGAGAAATGTTATGAAGGTTGTGGTAGGATCCACACCAAGTGAACTTATTTCCTATGCATCACCAGCATTTGGAGGATCAGCAAGTGACTGACAAAGTACTGGTATTCTTGTCTGCTCCAAATGTGTAACCCTGGAGATGAGGTGATGCCAGACAAGGCATTAAAGTTGATGATTTGTTTGTTTCATACCATTTAACAGTAAATATTCCTACTTTTATTAAAAAGAAAAACAGGATAGCACTGGAAATTGTTTCAAAAGATCAAAAAACTGCTTCCAAAAAGAGTGCATAGTGAAAGAATCATTAGCCTGACTAAGATATATAAAATTTTGAAATACTCCAAGTCTTACATGGTTATTCTTGGCTACTCAAATAATCAAAGTTGTTTTCACTTTGTTCAATTTCCGAAAGTATATTATTCCAGATAATGCATAATTTGATGTACACCAACACTGTATTAATATATTAATAGTATATTACTATATTAATAGTAATAGTTTTACCTTGATATTGTAATTTATTGTACTGGAGATAGAGATCAGGTACTAATTATTTAGTTTATTATTTAACGTTCTCTTTAATTTTACTGTTCTTAACTTATAGGTGTATGTGTATCCTATAGGTCTACATTTTGAATTGTCAACATTTTGCAATGAGGAACAGTTAACTACAAGATGTGACACTTGAAAGACTTAAAATAAATTTGTTAATCATGATGTTGAATGATAATCTGGGATTAACTCTTTCAACCCGGGCTCAGTTCCTGGAACTGACCTCATAACCATTTTGTGCTTGTTAAAGTTTTCATGCTATAACTTTTAAATTAGTAAGCAAATGTTAACAAAATTTGGCAGTTTATCAGTAAACTTTACAATGCTTTCATATGCAAAATATCAAATTTTTTAAATTAAGTCTTAAGGTTTGTAAAGCAATGTTTTTCTCACGCCTTTCTTTTCTTTTCACATCTTGCCTATCTATCATTCAAAGTAATTTTCATTTTAACATTAAATATACTTTTATGCATCAGAAAATTTTGAAATTTCACATACAAAATCTTTATAATGTCCAGATGGTTATCAAACATTTCTTAAGAAAAAACTTTATATTTTATCTGTTACTTTCAGTAATTCATCTGTATATGGATTTGGTACCGATCTTGCAACCACCATAAAAAATTAAGAAATAAACATAAATTATGCCTCTTTCATTCTAGAATGAACACAAATTATAACAAAAAAAATAAATGTTTAGATGAAATAGCTTAAATCTCTTAACATTATACATTTATATATATTTATTATTTTTATTATATTGACCTTTCACCTGTGCCTGGCTAACAATACAGAAGTTACAACGACGAGGCTCACGTGCATTCATGTTACCCTATCAAATAACATAAAGGTGACCTTTGGTCTGTACAAAGTAACTTGTCTTGGCTGTGTTTGAGTAACTAGTATTTTGTGAAATACAGTCACATTTCAATTATTATACATTATATATGTATATAGCTTATTGCAATTTTTGAAATAACTATTTAAGTTATTTTTCCTAAAACATAGAACAGTAAATAAATAAGAAAAGCAAACAATTATCTCTTCCAGTTATGACCTTTGTACTCCGTTGCTGTTTGATGTAGGTTGCTAAGCCTTTAACAATTTTGCATGTGGAGGCTATGATACAAAATATTTTTTTCAGGTTTTATATATACTTTTGAATAACTAAAAAATCATAAATTACTACATCAATACCATAGAATTCTACTATAATTTATCAAACATAATAACTAAGCTGTATTTGGGTCTAAAAAAAAATATGAAATTGCAAGATGACTAAAGACACTACCTACCTCATTGCAAGCTTGGTTTAAAAGAAAGAAATGGCACTAGATACTTTAGGAAGGCTGAGAAAACCACTAGGGGTACATTCTGAGCTTCTGATTAGTTATTCATGTCATATATAGAAGTAAGTGTATATAAGAGAGGGTTTCCAAAAATGGAAGGAGGTGAGCAGGGTGCCTCTGTGTTTGGTTTATTACATGAGCAATATCTTAGCAAATAGAAAAGATAAAACCTTCTTATTTTATATTCTAGCTTGTCAGTATCTGTAATTTGAGTTTCTAAATTGTATGAAACTATACACTTAGTATTTTGACTTCACAAACATCTAATTTGAACCAGTACTGCATTCAACATACCAT